AGTGGAAGAGGATTTGATGGATGTGGTATATCCAAAATTGGTGGAGGAATAACTATTCTTAAGATTCTAAGTGTACAGTCACTTTTATTTACTTTAACTGATTATGTAGTTACTTTATCTTTTCGTATAGTGTTGTTTTTCTTAGTTTCAGATGTTGGTGTTGTTGTCAAAAGGTCAAGTGCGAGGTGTTCTCTAACCCTACTCATCTTTTTACAGTCCTTCATTGCATAACATATCTTTTTTGTTGCATTGAGAACAATGTATGAAACGAGTTGGGGGGTGAGGTGCACCATATTTGTATGATACACCAATGTTAGTGGAAATTTTTTGATAATGTCAATTTTTGTGGTGAAATTTCACCTTTCACATAGCTATAGATTTTTTGTTCACAATAGTTCAAATTATGTGAAAAATTTAAAACTTTTGTGAAAATATCTGAATGTTGATCTGTATTCCCTTATTAAGAGTGTTATGGGTTTGTTGATACGTTGATCTTTGCTTTGAATTTGGTATACATGAACACATTATAGAGATTCATCCTATGCTTGAGTATCACATATGCAGTTGTTTTTAAACTCAACTTTAATGGCACCTTGAATGAGTAATTTTGGCACCTTACGGATTGAGTTCACATTCTAGTGCTTGACATGAATAGTAGAGATGAGTAAGAATCCATGAGAGCTTTAGTGTCAATCCTTGTTGGAGGGGACTTACATTTACTCGAGGAACAATTCGTCAAATTTCAAATTTGTTCAGTAGTCTTGTTATACTCGTTTCGGTTAGGTACATTTAATTAGTGATTGACTTGTCTTGAAATGCATAATGCTCCTCCATGCTTATCTAGAGGTGATCTTAGGCCATTTTTGAATATTTTGAGCCTTTGCCTTTTTCTTGAGAAAATATTATCCCTAGTGCTGTGATTGAGCTTTGATTAAAATTCGTTTCTATGCCATACATTAAACCAAACCAATGAAAATGATAAATATCTACCTTACATTGGTTGTTCCTAGAGCTGATTATGAGTGACTATAAAACAAAAGGAAGTATGGTGTGGAAACTCAAACAAAAGGGAGGAATGATGTTGAAACTCAAGGAGTTGAATGAAAAAAGAATGAAAATCCAAGAAAAGGAACAAAAAGGGTGAGAAGAAGAAAGAATGATCAAAAGAAAAGGAAAATGTTAAGGAGAAGAAAGAAAAGAAACAAAGAGTGTGGTGATGGTGTAAAAATAAAAATCCCATGGAGAGTATGACAGGATAACATAGGTGTGTTTCATTGTTGAGAGACACCCTTGGTGAGGTTGCATCGAAGCTTAATTTGGATAGCCAAAGAGAATGTGAATTCCATTGTGTAAGGGTTTAAATTACTTGTCCATTACACACACACAAGTTTTGAAAATGAATGTGTAGGTGCATACTTTAGACTAGTATTTAAAGCCATAGTGTTGCTCATGTGTTCTTGGTTCAATCTGTTGAACGACATGTTAGGTAGCTCTTTGCTTAAAGGATTGGAGAATATGGCCCAACTTTTGATATTTGATAAGATTTAGGAATGCCCTTGTTTTTTGAATTCATGTTTTGTATTTTGGGTATTCATTTTGGTAGTTTAAATTATAAATCCATGACTTGTGCTTTGAAAACATCAAAATCTTAAATCATGTTGCAATTTCAGAAATGACTTTGGGTATGATCATTCATTTGTGATTCATATGTGTGGTTCAAGTTTTTGGTAGGTTAGATGTCTTAGGTAGGGTATTAAGATTTGTTGGAGTTGAAGAGAAATGGTTTGGATGTGAATTTTTGAGCAAAGGAATGGTTTTGCAGCAAAGGCAAAGCCTTCCGGAAGGTTTTGTCCAATAAGCAAAACATTCCGGAAGGTTTTGCCTTGAAAACTAAAAATGGGGGTTTTAAGTTCAAAAATTTTGAAAAACCCTTCACATTTCCCATCCATCTCTTGCTTCCAAACCCTCTCCCCTCCTCTAACCTTTAATTCATTTCTCCCAAATATCAAATTTCTTACTTTCTGCTGATTAGGGTTGAAATTTAGAGTGTGTTAGTTGAAATTTCCAAGTTTTCTACATAAACCCTAGGTCCTCATTCTGCCTAAGCTTCTCAAGACATTTCTTGAATTTTTTCAAAGCTCTTAACTCCATTGCAATGCTAGGGTGAAGGAGTTGTCCATGGAGGTTTTCGAGCCTGTGGAGAGCTTTTTGGTGATGATTTTGACTTTTCTCTCTTTGGGGGCACTGTTGATGTTCATGGCCCACACAAAAGAGGACAGACGCAGACTTTTGCTCCGTCCACGGGCTTTAGCTCCCGAAAAAGAGCAAGGGAGGGCCCAAGTGGTCAAGAGGTAGAGGAGAGGCGACCCAAGGTTAAGCATGATGCCCGAAGACAGAGAATAGAGAAAAAGGGGTCACATGTGAGAGATATGTGGATATGGTTTCACTTGGACCATCGAATGAAGTTGTGAGAATTATTGAGGCGCGGGGGTTGAATGTGCGGTTTGAGGAGGTCAAGGGCTATAATTTGGCCATGTGCCATGAATTTTACAAGAAGTTGTCAGGTTTTTATGACAATGGGAGTAAGTTGAGGACAAATGTAAGGGGCAAAACATTTGAGGTGACCCCCGATACCATAGCCACAATGATGGGCTACGAGAGACCTCCCCCGACCACCTCGGTCTACCTATACAACGTGGGTGGGGGTAGGACTCTCAATGACTACATGGCCCTCACCTATGAGGACCTAACCACGTTTAGGGGAATGACGTTGGTTGGGGGCCTTAAACACTCATATGAGGTAATGAATAAAGTTCTTCATTACAATTTGATGCCCCAGGGTTCGGAGAAGAACCCAAACATAGAGAAGTTGGATTTGCTTCCTGCATTTATGACTGGGGTAGCCATTGATGTGGCTTATTTGATTTGGATGGAGATAAGGGAGTTTGCCCAAGCTGCAAATCCGAAGGCAAATCTCCCTTTTGGCAGCCACATCACCCGTCTCTGTGACTTGGCCAAGGTGAAGCATTATGCCCATGATACACTGCTCCCCCTAGAGACTAGAGCTATAGGGAAGTCCAGCAGTCAAAAGAGGGCTGCCAGGACTGGGGGTGAAAGACCTAAGGCTGGGGGGTCAGAGTCGTCAATAACCGAGTCGTCTGCATCAACACCTCCACCACCTGCACCTGCCCCGGCTCGCACCATACCCCAGCGTTTAGATGGTCTAGAGTCCACCATGCATGGGCTCTCATTGATGGTGATGAGACTTTTCTATCATACATTCCTGGGTGAGCCTATCCCCAGTGGACCCCTACAACATCCGGCTAGACCCTCGACCATTGCTCTTGTACCATCTATGACTGTTGAGGTGGATGCCGACGACGATAATGTGGAGTCTGAGTCCGAGTCCGAGTCCGAGTCTGAGTCTGAGACTGAGGACAACGATGACTTTGATGAGGAGGATGACTGGGGATATTTGGTTTTTGTTTTGAATTGTGGTTGTATATAGTTAGGGTTTCTTGTATCTACTAGTAGAAGTATCTTTAGGTTTTGGCCATTTTGTTTTGAAACTTGAACCAGTTGTAAAGAAAATTTTGAAATGATCAATGAAATACCACATTTGTTTTGTTTTTCATAGTCCAAAGCCATTTTTTAATTGCAATGTGATTTATGCATTTTGAGTGTTTGGATGTTTATTTGAATGAATGGATTTTGTTTAATTTATAGTTCGTAGTTTGAAATAATGTTTGCTAGGGACTAGCAAAACTCAAGTTGGGGGGTGTGATTAGCACAAAATTATGACATATATTGAATGCTAATCAGTCCTTTTATACTTACCTTTGTCATGAAATTGGGAAGAAATGTGTTTAATCTCAGCTTTAATGGAGTTTTGTGTAAATGTAGGTGAAAAGGCATAAATAGTTAGGGTTATACCCCCAAAGAAGTGTCTGAAGTCAATGAAGATGAGGGGATAGCTTAAAGGAAGGCTTGGAGGGTGAAGAAACCAAGAAAAATCCAAGTTGGTTGAAAACCTTCTGGAAGGTTTGGTTAAAAACCTTCTGGAAGGTTTTGCCTTGGTCTGCTCTTTCACTACCAAAACCTTCTGGAAGGTTTGCATATACCTTCTGAAAGGTTTTGCTTGTTGGAATGTTCATTTAACTGATCCTGCACAAACCTTTTGGAAGATTTGTTTCGACCTTCCGGAACTTAAGCTCTGTAATTTGGGGGTCCCACTTACACTTCTCCAACAGGTCACCTGACATCCCTTACATGTCTACAAGCCTCCCCTCACCTCTAGTTGGACTTTAAAGGCATTGGCATTAATGAGGAGGAGAGAGAAAAAGCAAGGCAAAGAGAGGGGAAAGCTATTCTTGTCCTAGCGTGCAACATTCCATCCAATTCGCCCCCTCTTGATGGGAGGCCTGTAACACACCCAAGGAGCTCTCTATGGAGGAAAACAGGGATTCATTATGTATTATTCTAATTGTATTACATTGTAGAGCTCTAGGTAGAAGACATAGTTAAAGAGAGAAAGCTTGAGATTTTTACATTTTCTTCCATCCACTTCACTTGTAAACTCTTGTAAGGATCTTGTCAGCTTCCTTTATTGTCTTTAATGTCATTTATTACAAGCGAATTTCAAGTTTAATCTTTCATTTTGGATTTCACCAATAATGCATTCAAGTTCTTCATTTTCAAGCTTTTAGATGGGTATTAAATGCACTTTCCTATAGTTTATGTTTTCTTGCATTAACTTAGCTCAAATCTTCATTCCTTTACAATGTCTTTCCATTACATTATTTTCTTTGCTTTAAGTAGTAGTAGCTAATATCTTAAGTTGACTAATCCAAGGGAGACCTCTTCTCGGGTATGCCATTCCAACTCATTTTCTTTCTTTCTCGTAGTGTATGTTGGTTCGGTTTGACTAGGTTGAGTGAGGACATGGTTATGAATTCTTAATACACCATAGGCATTGTCATGGGGTATGCTTGAATCCTCACCTCCATCCTAGTCTCGCGCTTCCTACAAATCAATCGAACATCTAGGCACCATTTTAGGAAGGTCTTGAGTTCCCCCGTCAAGCCCTTGTTAAGCTTTTTCAAGCAGAGCACAACGCGCAAGAGAAGGAGCACTAGTTGAAGAAAACCACCATGGAACATATTCTTTCTAACCTGCTGAACTTTCTCAATTGACCTAGATGAAGTCATGAATTCAGTCAGTTCGGGTGAAAATAACTTCCCCCTTTGCCAACGATATCCCTGAAGTTCACCGGCTCGACCTGAGGTAGATGAGCGTAACATAATAGAAAGGGGCAAAGTAATGGAACTGACATCTATTTTCATTGATTCACATTCGATTATGTCTAATAGTCAAGATCAAAGCATAACATTGATTCTTAACCCCATCAAACAAGCAATCAAGCTAGGATTCATATTGGTTGACCATTAGGTGAATGGGTAGAAAGGGCAAGTCGATCTGTCCATCTGTCCGAACTTCAACAAATACACTTCAAGCATTTCCTGGTGCTATGAACCAACCCAAAAAACACAGTAGGTCTTAGATCTCGACTTCAATCATCAGGACAACTGGGTCAAAGAGATGAGTTTAATGGCTAAGCCAACCACCTAAAAGAAAGTCTTATTGACTAACAAAAGGTCCATCTTTGTGCGAGAATAAGGTCTGAGACCAGCACTAGAATAACAAGCAGAAGAAGTAGCAAAGGTAGCCCTGCCCTTTTTCAGCTTAGAGTGGAGTGGAGAAATATGAGTTGGATATACACCATCCACTTCCTTAGCATTTCTTCTTTTCGACCTGAGGGAGATTCAACCCAATGGAAGAGGGACCTACCCCAAAGCAAGGACAAGGGCTCCAAAGAACCAAGAAGCCTATCTACACCTATGAAGTGGATCCTGTAGCACTTTTATCCGCTGAACTCAAACCTATCCAAGGGCTAGGATCAAGGGTTCGTTCGATGAGTGGTAAGGCTAGAGAAAAGTTCTTGTGCTTCCTCCATGGACCTTTCTCCTGTAATCCTTGCCCCCCTTGATTGGGGGGCAAGGGAGCTAGGTTCGGGTCGATTTCCATCCCTATTGGTCAAGTTTCAAAATCTTATTTATTCTTCCTTGTATTTTATAGAGTATATAGAACCCAAAGGACCAAGCTTTATGGTTTACCCTCTTACCAAATTGGACTAGTTTCATAGACATCTCTCTTTTCTTTACATACCGACATTCCATTCCTGATTCAAGAAAATACAGGAAATGGAACTCATTCAGGGCAATTAATTAAACATCATTAGTGTGTTGCTAGCCATTTTGCATAGTCAAGAACAATGCTAGGAAAAGAAAGATCTTAATGCCCGGTTCACTTTTAGAGGCCCTCCACTCTTTTTATTTGACCTCTTCCTTGAACAATTGAATCAGAAGTGGAGATCTGTCCCCTAGGGAACCTTAGCTATTTCATCAGCTGCAAGTCTTTTAGCCATTGAAGCTCTTTCTTTTGGTTCATACCCCGTGAATGAAATAACTGTTGTTCAAATAATCGTAAGCGGTGGTGGAGTCAGTTAATCCGAATAGGTTTTGTTCTAGTAGGAGCTCTAAGCCTATCAGCTGTGAAAGTCCTTTATCGGATTCGAATGCTAGTTTAACTGGTTCTCAAAGCGAGTACAAAATCTATTTTTTCGGGTAAAGAAATTGGGGAATAAAATGACCAAAGTGGTAATCTTAGAACTTTGATAGAGGCACTCACTCTAACTCTAAGTCAAAGGGTAACTTAAACCCCCCCTAAGAAAAGGCATGGATTTAGAAGTACTAGGGTTCCATAGTTTCTAATTCTTTTCATTCAAGTCTTATTATTCCTAGCCTAGTAGAGAGGAAGCTACCCCCATTCTTTCCCTGGGTGATGGAGAAAATGTTTGGATGTTCACAAGTCTTCGTCGTAAATAAAGCTCCCCTTTAGATTCGGGGATAGGAAAACTAGCAAGAAAGATATTACGCTTCAAGAGAAGTGGAACTAAAGCTTCCTTACAGACTGAATTTCTTACCCGGATGAGGATTCTACAAAAGATGATGTAAAATACTCAACGCTTCCTCCCCTTTTAGAAAGACTTTCCTACCCAAGGCTAGCGAACCCCCCAAACTAATTAGCATTCCTGCCTACCACTACACATGGGTGCAGGAAGCTATTTCAATCAATTTCAAACCTAGAAAAGAGCACAGAAGCTAGAAAACTCGGGTTTAAGATGGAAGGTTAGGATCTTTGCAATCCCAAACGATCTGAAACAGGCTTTACTATGACTAGTGCATGATTGGTGTATGCTGGTCCTGCATATCATCCCTCAAGATGGTATATTAGCAGAAACCCATGAGGTGGATAGAGAAGTGCAGTTGTTTAAGATATTTTGATCTATCTTTTGCTACGGATCGATTCCCCCTTTTATTTCAAAGGGCAGTAATAGAAAGTCTGTTTAATCGAGTAGTTTCCCATGCGTGGACCTTTAGTGGCTTGGAAGTTAATTTATTCTGGGCCCCTCAAGGTACCCTTTGAGAAGATATAAAGTTTATTAAGTTCTCTACTGGGTAACCTCTTGGTTTCCTTTCCTCTTGGCCTCTCTTCGCCTTGTGCCACTGCATACTTATGTGGTTGGAGGAAGAGAAGGTTTACCTGGGGAAGAAATTCATTAAGTATGAATTCTTAATTATAGAATTAGGGCTTTCTATTTTAGCCCCCAAAGTCTCTAATTTCCAACACTGGTTGAGTTTGCAAAGAAATTTTGAAGGTTCAATGAAGACTTGTCGTTCATATCAATCAAAATGATTAGGTTGGCACGGTTCACCGTAGCAACAATGCCTATTTTACGATCACTCGAGATTAGGGTTCCAAACCTTCAGCCCATTAGTAGAAATACTCGAAAAACTAGATCAGAATGAATGGTGGTATCTGGTTCCTACGGGACTGTCGTAGCTTTACTTAGATAAAGCTTGACATCAACTTTTTTCTTTTCATTCTTGTCATTGTCTGTGGACTTCGATCGGATCCCTCTAGACACAAGGCCATCCAGAAAGTCAGCCTACTATTAATGATTGACTAAAGGCTTTTTCTGTGTCAATTCTGATTGTGACTATGCCCCTATTAGTAAAGCATATCGCCCAGGTCATGTATGTTGCAGAACGCTCATTGCTCTGCCCCAATAAAAAAAGCCTGTTTATGCTTGCCCGCCCAAGCATTAAAAAGTAGGAAATAAAGAATGATAGCAAGCCACTCATCTCCAACACTAGATCAGGAGTTCCTGATAGCTCCTACCCTACGACAGATCTGCTAGCGCCACTCCTCAGTCCTATTTCGTTCCCTCCTTTTCGTAAGTAGGTATATATGATCGGATCAATACTATATCGATATCGAGTTTTTCTTCTTTGGAATGTGTCAGTTAAGTCAAGGCAAGAAGCAAGCAGGTACTTTTTCTAGGGCAAGTAGATAGTGACTTTGAACTAAATCCTTCTTGTTTTAGTTACGGGGGTCGAAGAAAAACCACTTTTAGAGGAAACCAACACGCCTATTAATACCTTTGCGTGTGGAAGGTGAGTCGGCGATTAGTCGGGAACACAGAATGTTATTGAAGTTACGGGCATGAGAAATAGAAAGAAGAACTTTCAAGTCAAGCCAAGCGATTTCATTCTGAGCATCTAGAATATCACTAATAAACAACCCTTTTTCTCCTGTATTTTAGATCTGTAACAACCTTAAGGTGAAAGGCAGTAGATAGAGCATTGGGCTACGCAAGCAGTAGTCTAGTTCAGGCCATATGTTGAGTAAGGGGTGGTGGATCAGAGATAGAAAAGTCTTGTTGCTATTCTTTCGGGGTAGGCGAAGTACTCTCGGAAAGGCAGTAGTCAGTTTCAAGCCCTTAACTTCTTCAAAAGAGCTACACTTTCTTGTTGTTTGATGGTCAGGTGGCTTTGCTTAGAGAAAAAATTCCTCTTTCTAGAATGCGATGCGCGTCTCTTTGTTTTGGGAGGAATCTTTCCTTCTTGTGCTGGCGGTGCAGTAAGTTCAGTACTCTTGGGAGACTCAATTTGTGAGAAAGTTCATCTTGAAAGTCCTGCTTTGTAAGTGAAACAAGTCAGGTTATTCGCTTTTTGTTTGTTTGAGTAGGCTTTTCGACAGTTTAGCTCTAAAGGTCACCTTTGGATTCTTAAGTAGGGGGCACTCGGGATAGTTAAGTCAAGCTAGTTCAGTTATAGGTCGGTGGATTAGAGAATACATCTCCAGTTCTGGTAGTCATTCCAGCGACTTAGCTTAGATAAAACTCCTTTTGTTTAGAGCATTTATAGGGCGTTTAGCGAGCTTAGATAATCAAGAAATCTATCTCTTTCGAGAAAGCAGTACGATTATTTTAGGTTAGAGGTAGGTCGAAGAGATAATTGCTTTTCGGGCTAGTCAGGTAGGCAAGTGCAAGTGGCTTTGGTCAAAGTGAATGTCTTGTTTCGGTTAGCGATTTCGACCCTTCGACACCGAAGTCAACTTTTTCTCTTGCTAGGTCAATTGGAGTAAGGGGAATGACAGATACAAGAATGCAACAAAAGGGACTTCCCTTTAAAATTGGACACCATCCATTGAATGGTCTCTCCCCAGTCCAGATTATACCAAGGCAAATTATACTGCAGATGAGGCGCCATATACCTTCAGAGAAGGGGCATGAAAATAAAAGGTGGTAATGACTCTCATCCTCATTTCCACAAAGGACGCATTGAGTATCTCGGGAAAGACCAATGGAAGCCATAATATCTCGAGTACTAAATTTCCTCCTAATGGCCAACCAAAGAATCATTGCATGTCTACGGATCCCTTTTCTAAACCATACAACCATTTGCCAATCCACCCTAGGCCCACAGGGGCGAACGCTTTCCCATGCGCTCTTTATAGAAAATATTCCATTGGGAGCCTTAGTCCAAAGAACCCTATTACCTTCACGTTTCAAATTTCCACGGGCTACTTCTCTCAACTTTAAAAGCTTTCCCCAAGCCCAAGAACATAATCGTGGGTGCCTCATCTCCCAAAAATCTCTATGCCTGATAAGGTAGGATCTTACTCAGTTAGACCAGATAGATTGGTTACCGTCTAAGCAAATGTGCCAGATGTGTTTGAGCATAGCCGCTCGGTTCCAAACCTCAAAATTTTGAATCCCAAGACCACCCTCCTACTTAGGAAGACAAATACTTGCCCAGGAAACCTTTGCCCCACCATGGCTGAGGTCACTCCCCTTCCACAAGAAGTCCTAAAGAACTTGCTCCACCTGCTTAATCACACTTTTAGGCAAAATGAACAAGGATGACCATTAATTCTG